GTCTTTGTGGTTCTGTATACAGCGGCTCAGTGGCACAGTTTAATGGCGCTTAGTTAATCAGACATCTTTATACTGCTATGTCACCGGTACACCAGGCCTTTGGTTATAAGCGCAGAGGTTCCGTGCCCGACACTTTTGACGCTAACGCAATGAGACCTTGGTACGATAATATATTCAACAGCCTAAGAGGCAAGTGCTCATTTGAATGGAAGTTTGATTACTGGCATTAAGGTTTCCGGTACAAATGGACTTATTTAGGCTACTGTATCTCTTGCACACCAGGCCTTTAGGGACATCCATAGAGACTCCCTGTCCTGTATCAACCAGCACCTACGAATGCTATTGAGCGGTTAGAAAGAAATGCAAGCAACATCTAAGGACTGATAGCCTTGAGTACGAGAAGGACTTTGCTGACGCAGCTCCAACAAATCCAAAGACGCTCGTTGCTTACGTAAAGAGACGCAGCAGTACAAGCTCGGCTATAGCAACTCTACTACTTGGCACGCAATGTCCACTCGCATAACGCATCAGTCAGCAGAAAAATGGGACGCAACTTGACTGCGAATAATGGAGCATAAAAGCGTTCAACAAGAAACAAAGCTAGTTTCAACTTGCCATTCAATGGATTGGCGTCAGTGTTTCAGGACGTGGTGGGTTTTCGCCTGGCAAGCGTTCTCCCTATAAAAAGCCACAAATGTCCGTTTAACAACACTGCAACGTGGCGAATGTGACTCGCCACCGAATAAAGTCACAGCCCATAACTTCACACTGGCAGCTCAATTAGAATCATCATGTTGGATAGCTTACTCTTCAATTATCTTCCAATGGATCACTCAGGATTCTCAGTCTATTATTACTCGAGGTATGAATGCGATATATGGCAGAGCGATTATGTCCAAACAAATGGATCCTGATCCCACTACAAACAAACCGTTCTTTCGCATGTTCACCATTGCACAGTTCCAAGCATGGACATGTGAACAATTTTCTACTGTCACTACAGTTTCCATAAAATGTCTGTACAGCTGTACATACCTGATCATGCCTCAATTGGCGTGTCTCGCATAGTCGAGAATAAAATATTTATTTATTTATTTATTTATTTACTATGAGCGCACGACGCCCGTGTGCATACCGACTGTGACAACGCTTGTATACTTGGCGAGCAGTATACCGGTGCCTTTTCTCGTAAGACGCCTGTACCTAAGGTTGAGCTGGTGACAAAGTACCGGAGGAAACTTGCCTAACTGAAATCAATATAAAGGTGACACAAGCCTTCAGGCCATGGCGTGGGTTAATGCTTCCAAATCTTCGGGCCCTTATTCAAGTCATCCGAAGCTGATGCCTAAGTTTGTTGCTGTGCTAAGTATCCCTCTTACATGCGTGCTTGCAATATCGCTAGATCTCTATGCCTTACCTTCGGATTTGAAGGAGGCAATCATCTGTCCGTTTACTAATGGTGTGGACAGTGCTCCACCCGCAAACAATCGTCCTGTCAGCCTGGAAAGCATAGTAGTTAAGATGTTTGAAAATCGGGTCAAGGATTCAGTGGAGAAGCACTTAAATAAGCTTAACCTTCGCAGTGCCACACAACACCGCTTCCGTGAGAGCTATTCGTGCCTGACGAATTTCCTTGTAGCTCATGAAAGCCGGACTAACGCAGTAGACAAGGTCATGCTCACGTTGTGCTTTCCGTGGACGTCTAGAAAGCCCTTGCTACTGTCCCATTTCAACGACACCAACTAAAGTTGCGATCAATTACCTGGAGGCGCCCATAAATGAGTGTCTGTTTTACTAGAAGGACGACTACAGTGTATACACATGGGACCAAGCCCTTCGCTCTGACACCCTGTTCTTAATGGTGTTCCGCAGGGTTCCGTTTTACTGCCATTGCTTTTCGCAACAAAGTCTAGGCCCAACCTTTGTCACTTGAACAACCGTCGCTAATATTTGCTCGTGACATGAGGCACTGGAATATTGTGTACAGCTCTGGGGGCTCTAAAACAACTCAGAGTGACTTGGATAGAATTGAAATTGATCAACCATATGGTTGCCGCCTATAAACCAGGCGAAATGTCCTGTCCTCCGCCTTGGTGGTGCTAATCCCCTACGCGCTATGTAGTTGATGGAAGTGAGATCCCAGTTGTCACTCAGCTGGTTCATATAGGTATCGTCCACACCCCAGTGTTTCACGCTGGGGACATTTGGAGGGAGGCTGCTTTTGATGGTTGTGTATGATGAGGTTCGTACACCACACTTTCAGTGTAAAAACGGTCGATGTCCTTGTGAAGCTGTGCTCAGCTTGTGGGATCCCAGCTAGAAATCTGCATCCAGCGTTGCTACCCTGGCTTGTAAGGCACAAACGGGAACTGAAGAGGGGTTCGCGGGTGAGTACAAAATTATTGTAGGGTTTACGGGGGCGAAAGTATCAATGCACGAGCAAGGCTCTACCGGTGAATCAGCGGCGACTTACCGTATCCTAACGGGTAAGATCAGTTCCGACTTGTCCTGATTGTTTAGGCCCGCCAAGTTGCCTAGCTTCGAGGGTCACCAGACGATGCAACACAAACTGCATTCTGACCGGGTGAAGATGGAACCTCGCTTCTCGCATTGGAACGCCCTTCTGGAACCAGTCATTATGAGGTCGAAGGTAGGGGGTTTCCGGCGTCGGTTAGCTATGCTTGCCAAGAAGTACCAGACCTTCCCCTGCTCCTTAATCCATGGATGCTGGTACGCGCCTGAATGTCGCATTTGTGGATTTCAGTAAAGGTTTTGACAAGGTTCCACATGAACTTTTGTTTAGCAGACATCGTAGTATAGGCATCCAAGCAATAAAGTTTTCTTGGATCACTGATTTCAGGCAGTGACCCACTATACGGGTGAATGTACATGAGCCTATTTCCGTCCATGTAAATATGACCAGCGGTGTTCCGTAAGAAGCTGTTCTTGGCCCTGACCTCTTTAAACACTCTATTAAGGACCCGGCGTTTGTATTAAATGCAGGTTGCTTGATGTGCGCTGCGGACATAAAGCTATGGATGGAAGTATCCTGTGTGGACGAAGGTGATGGACTACAAACAAGGCTCGATCCGCAGCTTGATTGGTGAATCAGGTGCCAGTTACCCATAAATCACGATAAATGATCCGTTATTCCGACCGGTGCTTCCATTTGGAATTATCATTTCGGTGGGATTTTGCCGCCAAACTATAACCGTGAGAGGGACCCTGGCGCCGTTGTGACTCCAGACCTAAAAGCGACTGAAGATATCTTGAGGAAAGTCACTGCTGCTAACGGGCTACTTTTCGCCATACGACGATCACACTCTGGCTTAACCACGTATTTGTGCAGGCTCGTGTTCGCTGCTTGTGTACGTCTTATTCATCAGTATAGACCGCCCGCTGTTCATCCTCTTTCCAAAAGTGCATTTGACTGAAAAGTTGCAACGGTGAGGACCTAATTCCATTATAACGTCACGAAACCTGCCATACTCACTTCTTCTTCAGTCCCTGAACTTATGCTCCCTAGCCTATCGTCAAATTGCGGTGTTTTGATTCTAACACGACGTATCGTTAAAGGTGAGCTTAGAGTTAAACTGCAAGATTTCTTTTGATTCATTTCCATTAGTTCTATTCAGAGGCAACTTTGGAAATGTTCAAAAGGAAACTTCGGGTCCGTTGTGGCGTTACCCTGACTACCAGTGTATTGAGTGAGTAGAACAACCTACCTGCGTATGGCGTCAATGCGCAGTCGGAGGAATGTTGCAAAGCTTGCTCGCATTCTTATCCTCAGAGTAAACTCGGATCGTGTTGCTTCTTGTGTCAATGCAGCGGTTCACTTGGTACCGACTTGCAATGTCCACCTTGATTTCTGTGACAAACAGGAGGCGATGGAGCTAACGAAAATTTTTCTTCAGTCCTCTACGTTCCATTGATTCCAATAAATGATTCCTAACTGACATGTATCTTCAACTTTCTGTTCGTATTTTCTATTTCTTTTCATACTTTGGTAGTAGCAGTATGTAGCTTGCATGCCTCCGCTTGGTTTATTAGCTTACCCTACGCTATTTCTTACCTAACATTAGCTGGCATGACAGTGACATTTGGGCAAGAATACGTAGGCGGTAATTTGTTGGATAGGGTGATGTTCAGCATCTATTTTAGGCTTTTCAACGTCTCAAGCAGGCCTATCAACTCGAGATACCACGAGATGCAAAAGAATGGACATTCAAGGACATTAATGGTCGTAAACTGGTGACAACTGAAAGTGTGACGCACGTACGGGCTTCAGCGTGTTGTGGTAAATACGCCGTTCTTTTGCGGTTTTAGCTGCCGACATATTTGTGAAGCTGTCCTCAGTTTTTGTTCGGCCCTATCTGGAATACTGCTTCCAGGCTTAACCGCCATGCCTTGCTGGGGACAAAATTGAGCTTGAGAGAGTGTTGAGAGTAGGTACCAAATTGGTGGCGGGGTTACGGGGCAATGGTATGCAAAGCGTTTACTTAGCTTCGATGGGACCTAACCCCTAGTTACCGCATATTAACTGGAAAGTTTGGACCAGATTTGAGCTGGTTATTTAGCCCGGCTAGGTTGCTTAGTCTTCGCGGTCATTCCAAGAAACAACATAAGCTGCGTTTCAACCGGATCAGGGCAGAAACTCCGTTAGCTAAATGAGTTATTGAGCGCTGGAACCCGCCTGCAGTAAGTATAGTCAGTAAACCTACGCTTAAGGGCTTCATACCTCAGTCAAAAGCCCTTGGGTAGCAAAATGAACCATTCCCTTCTCCTGACAATATATCTTTTTTCCAACATTGAGTACATATTCTTTCATATTCCTCACTATTTGGTTTTATCCTCTATTTAAATGGGTATCCAAATTATCTTCCATTTTCCTTTCACGTCTTTCTTAATTTACGTGACCTACACAGCGTGGGTTGGTGGTGCAGAGAAGGTGGGCAGTAATTAGTTGCCCAGAGTGGTTCGGGTGTTGCATTTTAGAGCCAGTTAGACCTCTTAGCACCTTAGCACTTCCTCGTTCGGCGATTTGCTCAAGAGGGAATACTTAATTTTTCTATCGTTCGTGTCATCTGGCTCTGAAATCTGCGCAAGATATTTAAAGCGATTGCTATTCGCAGTCACCCTTAACGTCACTGAACAGCTATACCATGCTGGTATGTTTGCTATCATTTCCCAAATGCCATTTACTAACTAATTCAGCAACCTGCTCGTATTATTCTCCTTAAAGAGGGCACTGACAGCTCCCAAGGCATTCCCCAGATATTAAGCAATATCTCGGCTTGCGAAGCCGTCGCGGAGGCCGTTCGGTCAACTCTTGGACCCCGAGGAATGGACAAGATGATTATTGATGATAAAGGGAAAGCTACAGTCTCGAATGATGGCGCCACTATTTTAAAGTTGTTGGATGTTGTGCATCCCGCCGCAAAGACTCTGGTTGATGTTGCTCGAGCCCAGGATGCTGAAGTCGGAGACGGGACTACGAGTGTCACAATTTTGGCCGCTGAGTTTCTGAAACAAGTGAAACCTTTTCTTGAGGAAGGTGTTCATCCAACAGTCATTATACGCGCTTTCCGAATAGCTGAGAAGATGGCCCTTGCTAAACTGAATGAACTTGCCTGTCGTATTGAAAGTACCGATCCGAGGTTTGTGCTCACTTGCCTCCCTACTATATTTCCTTTTCTCTACATCAGTGAACAACGAAGTTTATTGGAAAAATGCGCTGCCACAGCCCTCAGTTCTAAGCTAGTTGCCGGTCATAAAGATTACTTCGCAAAGCTCGCGGTCGATGCTGTCAGCCACTTGGACACATATCTTCCCCTGAAGATGATTGGCATTAAAAAGGTAAGACAGTGTGCCTATCTATTTCTGCCTTACATCAGCGCCTGTCAATCATAGCGTCTTTCATACCTGTCTGAAATTACTCATAGTCAGTATGTACGGTATTTTATCAATATTCCATCCACCAATCTACTATCTGGTTGTCCTCCTCATCAGACTACTGGTGATGCTTCACAGATATTAGTCGCAAGCAGTGGCGGGTAAGGGGCCTGCTAAGTACATGAATACGGAGAACAGCAAGATCTGCTGGACCCGACATTTATTTCAAAGGGCTACAAAGAATGAAGGGCAGGTATGCAAGAGCAGACAGCAGCGTAACAGCACGATTCACGGGAGAGGAACAAGTAACGTGATGTGCCATCATTGAAACAAATAAGCGATTGTAAGATACAAACAAGATTAAAATACCTCAAAATACTGGAGGCGCAAGTGTTTCATGTCCAATACGGGGTCTCCTAGAATCCTTAGATAGAGATGTCAGATGAGAATACAATGTGTTGTTTGCAGGGTAGGATAGCAGTTGGATTAGGCGCAAGTGGATAGAAAAGGGCAATTGGCGCTCGCTTGGTCACGTTTCATTATTTAAGTGTGCACTGCAGTGCATCATCGGTAAGCAGTCGGGGTGGGCTCGTTAGACTGCACGAGCTATTGGTTAGTCCAGAAAGAAAGCTGACAAGTCATTTCCTCCGGTGCATGCACTGTAGTCCACAGCCAAAACGGTTCATGTCGCACGGAGGTTCCAAGGTACCGTCGTTGGAAAAAAGCTATACAAGCGATCACGGGCCATACTAACCGTAGACATCTATAGAATGGGAAATGGCGGTCACTTGGATCCAAGAGGGTATGGCCTGAGGCTTCGGGCAGTCGATCCAGAAGACTCCGCGGTTTTTCAGCTGACTTAAGTTTAGTATGTAAAACTCGAGGAGGGTGACAGTCAGCATAACGCCTAACGGGAAACGGTACAAGTACATAAAGCGAAACTACTTAGCGTTCTGTTTCTTTCAGAAGTTTTGGGGTTTTTGTCATTTGGCAAAACTTTTATAAATGATACACGCGAACAAGGTAAGAGGCGAATAGCTCTAATGCCAAGGCAATGGCCAGTTGCCTGGGGTTTAAGTTAGATTGGCGGAGGGTCAGGTGAGGTACCGCGGACAATAGAGGCTTTCGCCTAACGAGTGTCCTGTTTCTTGTGCCGGTAAGTGAAAAACCCCTGCACTTCGACGTTGGATTGACTCTTCTTACTTCTACAGAAGAATAAAGCAAGAACGGGAGCAATCTTTGCACTTTTATGTGTCTGCATCAGAGTACACTGCATATTTCAGTCTAATTGCAATATCTGGGAGAAGGTCAGATCAAACTTCTTTTGAAGATTTCTAGTCTCACATTGTACTAGATCAGAAAGTTGTTTATTCCAGATGTTAACTACTCGATTTGTAAAACAGTTCATCCTAATGTTCAAACGAACCCTATGTTGTTTGAGCTTCAGGTGATGCCAGCGCAGGTGGTCCGATGTAGCTAACTCAGATGGCTGAGATTGATACCACTGAGTCCCTAAATGATCTTAAACCTCTCTATTAAATCTTCTCGCAATCTGCGCCGTTCCATGGAAAATACTCCTAAGCTACTTAGCCGATCTTCATACGATTTCCCTCCTTGACCTTCGATCATCCTTGTCGCAAGTTTCTGAATCTTTTCTGTACACAGCGTTACTACGGACATACGGTGTCCAGGTTTGAACATAGCACTCCAGATGTGGCATAACCACTGTTTTATATAACGGTAAGAATACTTCGGCGTTAATGTTACTTAGCGCCCTCCTGAGGCGGAACAAATGTCACGCTTTATTGGCAGCATGGCGATATTGTGCTGATGGCTTAAAACTGTTCACTGAGGTACCTAAATCACGGACTGCACTGCAATTCCGCTACCACTACTGGTGAATAACGCACATTTTTTGACATTCAGAGGCAAATCCCATTTGCTCGACCATAGTGATGATATCCTTAGTTAATGTTGCTCGACTACCCCTACTGACTAGCTACAAGTCGTTTGCGGATATAACAGAGATCCTCAAGAAGCGGAGCCAGGTCGTTTATAGACATAAGAAACAATAGTAGCTCCAGTACCGAACCTTGGGAGATCGCTTTAGGCAAGGCCCACACTAGAACTTGCGTCCCCAACCCTGACTCTGAATGTTCTTCCACGTAAGAATTCAGAAAGTCATAGTAATATTTGAGGATGCAGTCCAAACCATGTCAGCTTCACAATAAAAATCAATGATTTACTGAATCAAAAGCTTTACTGAAGTCCAAATAGCACACCTCTACCGACACCCCACTATCAAGACATGGGAAACTCTCATATGGAAACCACGATAAATTAGTGCGCCATGGCCTCTTTTTAATAAAGCCATGCTGTTCTGCTCTAACTAGATTGTGCTCAGTCAGGTGTTCACAGATCCTGTTTCTTATAAGCTTTTCCAAGCAATTCAGCATGATGCTGGTCAAACTAACAAGTCTATTGTTAAGAGGCTCCGACTTAGAATCCCCTTGTGGATGGCAACAATGGGGGGCCTCCTTCCAATCACGTGATAGTTTGCCTTCTTGAAGACGGGTTGAATAATTCCGCGACAGAATACTGAAGGATACCAGCCCGTGGCTTAACTATGACGGGATGTACATTGTCAGGGCCAGCTGATTTATAAGGGTTCAAGCTATCCAACAATGTGAAGACCTCTGGCACAATGATAATAATTCCCTACATTGTATAGCTACTTGAGCATTGCGGTTATGAAGGCAAGGCTGACTCACTATCCTTCCGATGCAGATTTTGGAAGACATTTAGCAGCATTTCCACTTTATTGACGTCGTCCACAGCCTCGCTACTATTCTCCATAGTTAGACAGCCGGCCTCCTCCCTTAGAGAAGCGTTTGATTGGACATTACTGTAGTAACACATGGGATTTGATTTTTGCGAAACTGGCCAACCTAAACTCATATGAGTACTTCGCTTGCCGTTGCAACTTAATATCCATGTTTCAACATTTTTAATGCTACAGGCGACGTCGGAAGCCCCGAGTTTTTTGGTATTTTCTCCACTCAGTACTGCGCCTCGTTATCCCTTTGCCAATCTACTTCGCCATCGTGGTTTGGTAATATGTCTTCTAGGGCGTCGGGGAGCAAATTCGTTCAGTAACTGCAGGAGCCCGCTTTTGATTGAATGCCACCTCTGTTCCAATGTGGCCTGGTTCTGATCAGGCATCCAAGTGATTTGAAAACCTCGATCGCGCAGCTTCGTATAATCCATGCGATCGAAATTCCTCAGTCCGTGATTCTCTCTAAGCCTCAGTGTGTTCAGAGAAAAGGTCAGAACGCATTGATCCCTCCCATGGACGCCTCCACGCGCAGGTCCATCAAGTGACCATGTCTGGCGATCACGATATCAAGGGTTGAAGAAATCCTCCCGTTACGACCTCTGGTCAGAACATTGACGTATTGCTCGAACGCGTTTTCGTGCATCCAATCGACCAATTCCTTCTCTAGAGTACCTGCCTTGTTTTCAGAAAGCAGGACGCAGGCCAAGAAATCCGTATGCCAAAGGTTCCGCTTTACCAGGGAACCGAATACCCTTGACAAGGTAACTCAGTCAGGAGTGTACCGCGTGTTAGCTCTGCCTTGATGATAGTGATCTGTTGGAACAGAGTAAAATTTTGCACTCTGCCAAAATAAAATATGCTTCCAAGACAAATATGAAGGTGAAAATTGCAAGAAAAGCTTTTTTCAAAATTTCAAACCGCGCGTCAATACTAACAGGAATCTGGGTTGCGCGGTGCCGAAGATGCACCTGCGGGTGTGTGTACCTGTGCGGCTGTATCAGGTTAGTTTGCAGACGGATCTTCGAAGAATGGAACATTGTGACGGCCGTTGGACACCGTTATTCAATAACCATTCTAATCAAAATTAATGCGCTTCGTAGTTCGTTGGCGATATACGAAAGGGCCGGTGTAGGGAGATTGAAGTGGGCGACTCACTGCGTCTGCGGACGAAAACGTGATTGCAAGTAGAAAGTCCACGAGCGGGGGTTGGTCGCAACGAACGCATGCGTTGAGAAAGAGAAGCTGCGCAGTTTGCCGGTAGCATACAAGGCGGCGAGGGGGCGAACTGAACTCTTCTGGTAACCGTAGACTAGCTCTACTAGTGCGCACTTCAGGTCAGCGCTGATGCTGCTGCCAATACCTAGAAGTACAAGCGAAATGTTTGCGCTCCAGTCTGGGTCAGAAACGGCACAAAGAGATGACTTAAGCCTGGTGGACCAGTAGGGCTCAAGAAATGGAGGAGGCAGGAGCGGTAGGCAATTACCGCAAGCTCTTCCAGCTGATCCGCACCACTGGTCCCAGAAAACCGGGCGTCAGTGAGACAATCAGAGACAGCGCGGGTGCGCTGATACACAATAAAGAGCGCCGTATGGCTCGTTGGGCTGAACACTTGGAACATCAGTTCAGCTGGCCCCCTGCTCCCGGACTTCTTCCTACTCAGGTGATGCAGGACGTGCCATGGATGGTTAGTTTAGAACCTCCGTCGGAGGCCGAGGTCCGAAACGCGATCACAGCCCTCAATCGTTTTCGTGCCGCTGGCCCGGATTCCCTCCCACCTGCACTATTTAAGGATGGAGGTGAGGTCCTCTCCAAAGCACTGACCTCCCTATTCGAACGTATCTGAAACGAAGTGTGCCAGCTAATTGGAGCGAATCGATTATAGTGGCAATATACAAGAAGGGCAGTCGCACAGACTGTTGTAACCACAGGGGTATTAGCCTAACGCCAGTTGTGACAAAATTACTGGCCTCGATTCTCGTTCGTCGCCTCACTGCAGAACGGGAATCTCGGATTAGGGAAGAGCAGGCCGGTTTTCGCCCAGGACGTGGCTGTATAGACCATATATTTACTTTGCGGCAGGTGCTAGAGCAGCGCCACGCAAGGACCGACAATAGCTGTGTTCCTCGAT